GCTTGCAAGGTGCCTGCTCGCAAGCGTCATAAACGAGCGTTGTTCGATGCAGTGGAGCCTGCGCGCCTCGACGCAAGGGATCCAGGCCATTTGCGAGTACACCTTAGGCGATGCTTAAGAAAACTCAAGTTTTCGGCCAGAGTCTCGATCATTCTTGATGTTTCAATGTAAATCCTAAGTTTTTAATGGAAATGTTGGGTTTTAATTCAAGTTCTGAGACTATGAGTTTCTTAACCCATGATTTCTTAAGCATTTCGCAGGGTGTAGCCGCTTTGCGAGTGGGGGAACGCGCTTGGTCAAGGACGGGGAGCAGACGTTGGCACAGCCCTAAAACTCGGAGCTCCGCGCGGGTGCCTTGGACCAGCGCCGTGGATCCCCCCTCCCTGGCGCGCGGGGCTCGCCAGGGGCGGCGGCGCCTCTGGCGCCGCGGGGGGGGGGGCCCGGCGCCGATCCGAGGAATCCTTGCGCGGACCTCCGAGTCTTCCGGTTCCTTTGCCTTTGGTCGGTGTCGTGGGGGAGGCATCCTTCGGCTCGCCAGCCCTGCCTTCGTTGAGACTCGTCACCCAGTCGAGGGGACGCCGGAAACCCAGAAATTGTGCGAACATACGGAGGATCCTGTTATTCGTGTTTGTTTATTCGTGTGTCCCAGGGCCCTTTCATGTGGACAGTCTCGTCGGCGGGCGGGCTGTCGGCCGCGGCCGCAGCGCTGCGTGCCGCGGGTGGAGGGCTTGCCACCCGCCGGCAGGCGACGGGTGACAGGGCGCACGCGGCGGGCCCCTCCACGGGAGCGTGCGGCGGGGAAGCGTGGCATCGAGCAGTGGCGAAGCGTCCTGGCCTGCCTGGGGCCGAAGAAGGAGAAGCCACATAAGCATAAACGTTGATGTGGTTTCCACACAGACGTAAAACCTATACCATCAACATTTTCACATAACAGACACCACATAAACATACGCATCGCTGCGACCGCGGCGACAAGGTCGGGCGGCGTCCAGGAACGGTGCACACGGGCAACGGCTTGAATTCGCGCACAGGAGAACGGAGGGGCGAAAAGAGACAAGACAAGCAAGGCCTGCCTGTAGGCGAAGGAGGAGAAACCACAGAAACATAAACTTTTGGCGCTCCGCACGGATTTCTTGGATCCGCGCCTGGGCCCCCTGGCGGCGCCAGAGGCGCCGCCCTTGGCGCGCTCCGCGCGCCAGGGAGGGTGCTCCAGCGCGGATCCAAGGAATCCGCACGGAGTGCCAAAGCTTATGTTTATGTTTTTGTTTCTTCTTCTAGTCCTGGCTTGCCTGTAGGCCCACCAAATAATATTATAAGAACTGTTGGTGGTCTGCACGAGAGGCTCTTAGAACATCTCTGGATGAGACCGTCGTGTTTTAACACGTCGGGCTTCTGTTCTGAGAACTGTGTTGTTGTTGTTGTTCGAACAAGTTGGGGTTCTAGTAACATCTCGTGGTAGGCTTCCAGGAATGCCAGGACGGTCGGCTCCTGCTCAATGGAAGGCATCGGGGATGGGTGGCTCGGGCGCGCAGGAGCGTCCGGACAATGTCGGCTTCAGCTCGAGGAAGGAAGAGCGGCGCAAGCATAGGCTTTCGACGCTCCGCGCGGATTTCTTGGATCTGCGAGGGCCCCCCCTTGGGGCGCCTCCGGCGCCGCCCCTGGCGCGCTCCGCGCGACAGGGAGGGGGGAGGGGTCAGCGCAGATCCAAGAATGCCGCGCTGAGAGTCAAAGGTGTATGTTTCAGCCGTTTTTGGTCCCTCGACCATCGACCAGGGCGTTGTCATGTTCACGTGGTGAGCGGTGTACGCGTACACGCGGAAGGGGGTGTGAGCCCGCGCGGCTGGGCATGGGGCGCGCCAGCGTCGCCGCGCGCGCCTGTGAAAATTACGCGGCGGCGAGGGGCCAGCTGTGGTTTGCCCGTCGTTCCTTCCACCCTTGTCCGCTCCTCTGCGCTTGCCTCCCCCCCCCGCCTCCCCGGGCCCTCTCCCCCTCCACCCCACGCTTCCCTTCTTCTCCCTCCCCCCTTTCCCCCATCACATGCTCTTTTGGCATCCAACCTGGATCGCCCCCCACCCCCCCACCCCTTTCTCGGGGGTGGACAGACCTCCTACCCTGACACGTCGATTAGCGAATTGGCCGTTTTCGGTTCGCGAGAGGGCATCGCGGCCGTCATTTTTGCGGGTCCAGGTCCGTCGGTTTCGGTCCCAGCCCGTTTTCATTAAAGGGTGGTTTACTAAAGGGAGGTTTGTCCACCGCCGAATCCCCCATCACCTGCTTTTTGCTGGCCTCCAACCTGGATCGCCCCGCCCCCCCCCTTTCATCATCCTCCCACCCCTCCGGCGCCCTCTCTTGGCTCCGCGCCCTCCGTTCGGAGGGGCCGAAGGGGCTGGGGGTACCTGCGGCGGCACGCGCTCGAGCGATGAGAGGTTCGGTCATTTGCCGACGTCTTTTCTTCTTTTTCCCCCGCTCCTGCACGCTGTGCTTCGCAAACTGCTCCAAAACGTTCCCTCCCGCGCCCTCGCCCGTCGAAGTGTTCCCATCCGCCAGTGTGCTCTTGCCCCTCGAAGCCGGCCGCTCGCTCCGCCTGCCTTCCTGGGGCAGGCGGCGCGGGCGGCCAGCTTCGAGGAGGCCAGCGCGTTTTTGGCGCGCCTGCCGCCCCGTCTTGGGTCGCCACTCGGCGACGGGAGAATCGATTCTTGTGCGTGCCTCCTGGGAACAGGAGGAGGGGGTCGCAGTAGCAGCGGCGGTGACTGAAGCGGCGGGGGCCACAGCTCGGCCACGCGCAGAGAGGGGGTATGGGAAGGGGGGAAGGCTTCTCAGGAGCACCCCCGCTTCTTGGAAGGCGCGGGCCTGGTCTGTAGATGTAAGGCTGGCGCCGTCTCAGAAGCAGCCTCTTTCTAAGAAGCCTTTCCCCCTCAGCCTGCCCACTTGTGCGCACCGCCAAGCAGCAGTCATCGCTCGTGTCTTTGTTTGGCGCGACGGCATCTGCTGAGTCCTTGGGCAGCGGGGTCTCCGCTGCTTGAGGCCAGCGGCCAAGTGGGGGTGGTGCCGGTGGCCGTGTCTCGGGGTGACATCTCGAGGCACCTCGCAACGGCGGCGCAGATGTGACGCCTGGGGCGGGTCTGTACCGCCGTTCATGTTGCGAGGTCCGGCTGCATGTGAATTCACGCAGGCACTTTGGGCACCTCCCTTCGGGTTGTGTCGCCCGGGTGTTCTGTCCGGGCAAAAACAAACAACGGCCTCTGCTCCGATGGCGTCCACCGTCCCGGACGTGTTGCTCTGCGCGTCGTTCTCCTTGCTTCGGAGGCGCCCAAGAGGAGGGCGATGCTTGGAGGGTAGATCTCATGGCCGTGGCCATGATATCGCCCCATCTTTCATTGCCGCTCTTCTTTCAATCCGTCCCGGTCCCCCCTCGTTTTCGCGCACGCCTCGGGCCATGATTTTGCCACCCCCTCTATTGGACGCCCTCCGTTTGGACGCCCCTCGATTGTTAGCAGCCTTCGTGTTCACAGCAGACATCTTCGCGTCACTCGCGCCGGTGTCAGAGGAGATAATGGAGGAAGAGTGGGAGGAGGAGGAAGATGAGGAGGAGGAAGAGGAGGAGGAGGAGGAAGAGGAGGAGGAGGAGGAGGAGGCGGATGAGTTGGAGGAGGAGGAGGAGGAAGAGGAGGAGGAGGAGGAGGAGGACGAGAACGAGGAGGAGGAGGAGGAGGAGGAGGAGGAGGCGGTGGAGATGCAGCCTGGCGGGTTGTACGACGCGCTCCGTGCCGCCTTCTGCTGGGAGGAGGAGGCGAAGGCCATGCAGCGGGCGGCAACCGGCCGAAGGGGCCGCTTCCTCCTCGCACGCAGGGCGCCCGAAGAAAAGGAGCAGGCCCACAATCAGAAGGGAAAGAAACACACAGACACAATTAATCGTCGATTCCCCCGAAAATATGGGAAAAGTATGGGAAGTGGGGGGGAAGACAAAAACCCAGAAAATATGGGAACATATGGGGAATCTTTTTATTTGTGTGTATTTATTTGTATGTCCCAGGGCCCCTTCAAGGGCGCCCGAAGAAAAGGAGCAGGCCCAGGCGCCTGCGGTTGCCGAAGCTCTGGGCACAACAACGAACCACAACCACAACCGAACTGATGTTTCGCGAGGGCCCCTCCTGGGGAGAACCCGCCGACCTGGGCACGAGCACTCTGGCTGTGGCTGTGGCCGATTTGGCCGTCCTGGGACGCCACGTCGAGCACAACCAGTACGAAGCTGGCTTCGGAGTGCGGGCAATGTTTGGCATGCGCAAGAGATCCCCCCAGGGTGTGTCCTGGATGTGAGTGTGGTCGCTTGCTGTCCCCGCAGAGGCTGGAGTGCTTCTCCTCAGCGGGCCTTCGCTCCACGCCCGACCCGCGTAATTGTCCCTCTGCGCTGTGCGGCAGCTCGTGGACCGCTTGTGGACCCGCGGAGCACGAGGAGGAGGAGGAGGAGGAGGTGGGAGCGGATTGGATGGAGGAGCTGGAGTTACAGCAGATGCAGCAGCGGGCAGCATGAGCAGCCGCGGCGTCGGGCGGCGTTCTCCGCGACAGCGGCGGCAGCAGCGACAACGATTTCCCGTTCTTGCGAGCGCAGGGGCGTTCATCCTTCTGCTCCTCTCGCTTATCCTGTTGGTGCTCCTCCCAACGTCCTCCCAACGTCCTCCTCTCTCCTCTCTCCTCTCGCCTCTCTTCTCTCTCCTCCTCCTCTTTTTCCTCCTCTTCTTTCTTCTCCTCCTTTTCTTCCTCATCCTCCTCCTCCCCCTTTTCTTCCTCCTCCTCCTCCTGCTCCTCATCCTCCTCCCTGATCTTCCTCCTGCTTCCTCATCCTCCTCTTCCTCCTCTTCCTCCTCCTCCTTCTCCTCCCTCCTCGTCATTCCTCTTCTTCCTCCCTCCTCCCTCCTTCCTCCCTCCTCCCTCCTCCCTCCCTACTTCCCCTTCCTCGCGCCTCCCCCTCTCTTCCCGCTGCGCCCCGCGGCCCCCGGCGCGCAGGCGGTCTGGTCCCTGGTGGAGGCGAAG